AATTCTCGTAAAAGGACTCCACAGGCTTGATTTTGCAGATAGAAATTTCCAACCAAAAAGAAAAACACATCAAGATCCACACAAGTGTCGTTATAAACTAAGACTGCCCATGAGTTTAATTACATTCAATCTCATTCATTCAACAGTCCAAGATTGCACTTTCCCTGTTGCAGCGTCTTGTCCCTTACTAGAGAAAGGCAGGACACGCCACTACTCAAACTCTTACATAGTCACTCTATACGATACCGTATGTTAACATCAAGACCTCTCCATACTATCCTCATCCTGTAATAAATTCCATACACTACCTCTGAGCACAAACAATTTACCAAGCACACAGAAAACAGGCACACTTGAAATCCATGTCTTTAAAAATGACCCACAAGTCTTCTTGTTAAGTGTCTCCAAAAGACTAAAGAGCGAAAAGCAAATGAAGACATGGTAAATAAGCACACCATCATGGATGAAAATTCTGGATCGGTATGTCTAAAATTATTCTAGCTCCAAATAATCCTCTTCTCCTGAGACCAGGTGTACATATTCATCTCACAATCATCAAGGGAGCAAAAAATGTATCTTCTGTTTCTACTTTCTGACCATATTGGTTTTTCTTAGAACAGACATGAGACCTGCAATATCAACTTCATTTATAAAGATGAAACTGTAGATACACATCAAGTTCAAGGAAATTGCAAAATAATGGCCCTTGAAACATCATCAAAAGCATACAGGAAGTGCACAAGTTACTCAGATGATGATATGTAACCCGTTTTATTTACTGTTTTGAACCTCTTTTAGATGGAAGTACACAAACTTTAAGAAGTTGTCTGGTACAACTATCATCTAACTACATTAAAAATGTTGGTCAACTACCTGTTTTCCTTGACTTGTACAAGGACTGTGGACGCATCTATATCTAACTTTGACATTATAACCTAGTAGCTGATGGTTGGGGGGCAATGGGATGAGGAAGAGTCTACAGTTCACTCTTAATGGATGTCTTCGCACTTCCCTCCTTCAAGATATTTTTAAGAGATACCAAATCAATCATAAAGTCAGCAACATCCTGGAGTGGAAAGGAGTTACACTGCTTAACATTGCAGCCTGATTATGACCCAGTTATCAGATAAACAGAAGTTACATTAGTATCAGAATGAGGGGAAAAAAAAATGAAATTCCTGCTTTTGAGAGTCAGAAGGTTTTACCTATATCAGCATTCCTATTACAAGACACACAGTACAACAGGAGAAAGCTAACATTTTAAATGCTTATTTAACTGCCATTTAAAGGCTTCCTGAAAAGTAAAAATTCCAAATGCAAATTAGATAAACACAAATATATACTGAATTCCTCTGTCTTCTCCCACGGATAAAAATTAATTATTTTTCTGAACTATCTCACTAAGAAAACCATCTAAAGCATTCTACAGTTACATGGAACCATGATCTTTCTTTCCATTATATGCTACAAAAGTAGAATTCTGCACTAAAAAGCACCAAGAGAAGTCCTAGGAAAACAGATAATTGCAGGTTAACAAGCCACCATCTGAGGGTGAAGTAGTAATCTTCCAACAACTGCGTTTTTAATCAGAGCCACGTTTCATTTTGATCCATGTATTTACTGAAGATCAGGTGTATAACTACTAATACAGATTTGTTTTTTCTTTTCAATACCTTTTATTTTCCTAATGTAATTACGTGCTCTTAAATGGCATATTTTAAGACTTCTGTTCCATTTTTTTTAGATCTTATTGCTACTTTCTGTTGAAAGACAATCAAACACTTTTTTAAATAATCTGCACACAAGTATGCACAGTTACACCACAAAGCAGCAGTTCAAACTAAGGCCTAATGGAATTTCAGATTATTTCGATATACTACTGACAGAACTCATGAAAAACATCACTGATTTCTTTGCTCCTTTGGAGAAAGATCACAGCACTTGTACATTTAAAATAGGACATGGGAACTTGAGCCATAAGAAAAGTGTGAATGATCACTGCACAAATTTGTTTCCAACCCCAATTGTAGATACCTTACCCACACCAGGGCCACATCAAACAGTGGCAGATGCTAGAGTTCTAATATTTACACTTAAAGAGACTACTCAGTCATTTGCAAGTAACCTTTATCAAGTGGCAAACTTACTGAAGTTTCATGTTAATCACAGACTATTCATTGCACTTTTATGAGTATACTGCCATATTTTAATAAAACATACTACTAGGTCATATTGGAAATTAATTATTGATCCCCCTGAGTTGTTAAGATTAAACTTTTACAACCAATTATTTTAAAATAAGTTAGCTCGAATGATGAACAGTTATAAAGTAAATTAAATCCATAAATCATATGCTGTTTACTATGTTTAGATCACTGGCTGTATGAAAGTTTGTTACTACCTATGCAACATCAAAACATTAAATGAACTTTAAGGAACATGTAAATGACTACTGCTGCTTTATGCATTTTATATTTTGTTGACAGCAATAAGCACATTTTTCATGACAGAAACACTGGAAACAAAGTGATTGCCACAGCTGCCACAGAAAATGGGCATGAACTTAATTTACACAGTTCTACTGGCAGTAGAAAGTGCACTAATTTAAATACAGCTCCATAAAAGCCTAGCTGGCAGTAGGTAATAAAGGATTACTCAATTAACCATAAACCAGAGCTTACAATACTAATTACTGCATTTCCAAACTATTCTTGAATCATAAAAGAGTTAACAATTGTATGTTTACAAATCAAAAATAGGTTTTTTGTACACTGTGTGATAAAAGAAGAAACCTAGAGGTTTAAAATCAACACTCAGTCATAACAATGATAAAGATGAACTCTCAGTAGCTGTCATTAGTTTCATTTGGACTTCCTATATTTTAAGTACATACTCATTTGCTTAACGCATATCTCAAATCCATCTACAAAGAGAAAACCTCACAACTAGATATGGAGCTCTAAAGTAATTTTTTATAATTTGTCACAAAACCTATTTGTATGATGCTGTAGGAGAATCAATGCCTACTATGCAAGCATCTTGACAAGTATGTTTTCTCCCAATAATACTGGGAAAGGTAACTTAACAGAAATGCAGAGTTCAGTACTTGAGTCATACAGATACTGTATGTTTCCCTGAAGATTAATATTAAAGGAAACACTAATGTTACTTATTACACAAATATGCATAATCACAGTCATCTAGAGACCTACTAAATGCTGAAATTAGTACTTTGAATTTTAAGTTTATCGTACATAGAAACACTACCAATAATCTATGTTCCCCCTCTCCATTACATTTCGAGGCTTTAATCTACTACAGAGGGAACAAAACCACAAATAAAACTTATTATCTTCCTGAGTTGCTAGGGCATGTCTCAATTACAACTCCATTGATCAGTTTTTTCACAAAAGTAGATACTTTTGAAGCAAACATTATTTGTGAAGTGTGTTAAAACATCAAAAATTAAGAAAATACTGAAACATGAAGGTTACAGAGAAACATGATAACCTTAGTCCTTCTGAAACATTACCAAAATCACAGTGAAGTTGTACTAAAGCCTGAGAAAGTAAAAGTTTTCCCCTTACATTGAATATTAGTTAAGAATGCAGCCCGTCCTCCCATCATCAAGATGGCATGGAAGTAACAAAACCGATTTAGGACATATTCAGTTTTCTTTTTAGAAAAAAAAAATTTCAAAAGGCATTACACGCCCTACTGAGATATTCATCTTGCCTCCAAACAATAAAAGACTTCCAACATGACAATTTATTGCAGAGTTGTGCAATAAAACTACAAAATTGATTTGCAGTATGCACAACACTGGTCTACAGGAGATGCAACATGTGTGATGAAGGATTAGGAACATACCAAATGGGTGGAACCACTACAGTACTAGAAACCTAAATGAAGTAAGGAGGCTGTGAAGCAGGTGAAGTTCTTACGCAGCCAGAATTGTGGCAGCTTCAAGAAGTGAACAAATTCAGGACTTCACATCCCACAAGGCCGCCAATTAGCATAAACCCTAGACTTCGGGGGATTTTTTTATTCAGTAGGTGGTGTGACAGGATGAATGGAGAGCAGTATCACAAAACTGCACTGATGCAAACTCCCATTTCTGAATACTTGCACACCACCTAACCTGTACAATAGTTCCTGAAATGTTTCTAACCATGAGACAAATCATATATTTGCAGTTACTAGCAAGCCTGGAAAGAAAATAATTATAGCAAAAGTAAATATTGTGGCCAATGGTGAACACAAGTGTTATTAGTAGGGAGAGTACACACAAGAAAGTAGACAACTACTGTAAAACAGCTTAAATTAAATGCCTTTTTCCCTTGTCAGGTTTTCTGAAATACCTCCAAAACTAAAGGTTTCTCTACAGATTTATCATAGGTATACTTTTCTTTGCAGAAATGAACTACGCATTCCTTTTGTTAGGAAATGCACTATCAGAAATGTTCAAAAAATTATTCCAACACTGTACAAGTCATCACTGTATCAGTTCTGTGTTTCACAACTGTTCAAAAGACAAACTGAATCAAGGGGAAAACCTGCTTTTCACAGTAATCATGCTGTTAACATTTCGTTAAAGCAGAATTTGAATTGAAATGCTACATTAAATAAATTAAGCTTCTCCTGTAATTTCAAGTCCTTTTTGTGACATCCAGAAGCCATAAAAATCTAAACTAGAAGACTTCAGTTACCAAAAATACACTCAATTCAGTTATTTACTTTGAAGAGTAAAATATGTCAGAAGTCCACTTATGCAGGCCTGTATTAGTTTTGTGGTTAAACACATGCCTGTGTTAACAAAACAAGTTACAAGAACTTAAATCTTTTCATTAAGAGCCAGTCATATCAAGTACAGACACCTTGGGTAAAAAGCACCACTTTCTGATTCAACACTCACACACAGAAATACCAGCTGAATGAAAAACAAGGTTTCCAAAACCAGAAAAAACAGGAGAGCTACTATAATGACATTGATTTCTTACCCTACGCATGGCTTCCTCCTCCTCTTGACGCTTCTCATAATGTGCAAAGTCATCAAAGATTGAGGTGGTATGCTTGAAAGTAGCAATTATTTTAAGCACTTGCTTGGCTTTTTCTAGGGGTACCTCTTGAGTGTCCCTCGAATTGGTAACTGGTTTGTTGTCATTGTTTTCCAAGCGAATATGCCGCAGTTGATTATTGGGAACGTCTTTGACAAAGATCCATTTGACATCAAACTTCCCCTTCCACTTATCCTGAGACCAGACACCAGCATATGCATTGTAGTCCACAACAGACTTCATCTCAGCCACTCCACAAAAGTGTCCACTGCCATTCACACTGAAGAGCAAATAGAGTGGGCCTTTTCCATTCAGGGAACGGTAAGCAGCATCCAAGCGCTTATTACCATGTTCAGTACTACACCAGATAGAGTACTTTATGGAGCGATGAATATCGTCCTCTGAATAACTTTTGATTATAAACACACGTCCATTCTTCAGATTCCAATCGAAGTCTTTGGGATTGTAGTTGTTTATGGCCTTTAGTTTCTCCAGCACTGGGTGCACTTCCACACCAGAAGGTGAGGAGCTGACGGATACAACACCTAAACCGAAGTTCTCACTACCAGCTCCATTGTTCTGGCTGAAGCCCACACCCCTATTACGAGGAGCTACCCAGCGGTTTTGCAGCTGTTGCTGCTGCAACTGGTGAGGCTGGGCCTGCTGCTGAGGTCCTTGTTGCTGTTGCGGTTGCTGTGGCTGAGGCTGCTGTTGAGGCAGTTGGCTTTGCACCAGTGGTGGTGGTTGAATTAATGGCTGAGGCTGCTGGATTATAGTCTGAGGAGGCAGTACTGGTTGAGCTGGGGGTGCTTTTACCACTGACCCTTTGTCATCCCAAGTTCCAATATTCATGTTGTGTTTTATAGGTGGTGGTGGTACAGCAGGGCCCCCAATGCCCACATTACCTTTAGGCTTGAGTTTCGGCTGAGGTTTAGCAGGCTTCCTTGCAATGGCAGCCCATGAGGTTGGTTTAGGTGCTGAACTGCTAACTGGGGGCACGCTGTTTGCTGCAATGCTTGTCATACCTGTACTGCTCAGAGCTGAACCTACAGTTTTTGTTACAGCAGCCGTCATATCTCCACCAATTTTCAGTCCAGTCATGCCTTGCTCAATGCTGCTAATCCCAGGCACCTTGCTCAGAGTATCACTGCCAAATCCAGCCTGTCCATCTGCTATGGCTCTCCCAAGAGAACTAGGTGGATAGCCATAGCTGCTGCTGTAAGCAGAGCTTTGCGTTGATTGTCCCTGAGATCCACTTGTCCCCCATGTAGAGAAGTCTGCATTCCCAGGAAAAAAATTAAATCCATGCTGCCCGAGAAATGGAGGGGTATTTCCTAATGCCCCAGGTTGACTAAATACACCATCGGGTATGTAATGGTGTTCACCATTACTCATCTGTCCATAAGTTGTCAAGTATGGCATTGGAGGGTCACCTGCAGTTGACCATGCTGCTTCACCTAAAGAGTATGGAAATCCAATGGATGGAGCATAATAACTAGGCATATATGGGTCTGACATTGGTGGATAGCTGTTACTCTGCAAGAAAATAAAACAGAAATCAGCAGAGACAATTATGCTCAGGGCAAAAAATCCCTGCAACACAGTCCAAAACATTTTTAAGGATTATCTGAGTGTGTTCATAACTTCTACCATTCCTCCCCACATAAAAGATGAACAAGGTATCTGTTAGATATGGCCATTTTTTTCCTCAAGAGTCCTTTTCAAAGCACTAAAGAGCCCCATACTTTGTAATATATTATATTTATTTTCCGTTACTGAGCTAGGCTTAGAATGCCTCCACGTCAACAGTATCAAGAAAGTAACAAGCTACTTTAAGAAAAAGTCTTAACAGCTGTAGTTTCATAAATACAGAAAAATAGCTGCAACTACGATTTAAAGTTCTAGTATTCTTAGTTTTTTGTCATATTTCTCACTTCTAATTGGAGACACCTGCCAGAATATTATAATGAAATGGATGCAAGGATGCCTGTTTGTTTCAGGAGGAACAACAATCAAAGCATAACAATTCCACACTATTGAGAATGGGCATTAAGTACAATCTGTGGTCTAGTAGAACAAAGTTTGCTAGCTAAATTCAAATTCTACTCCTCAAACTCCTGGGAAATCACACCATTTACTTCTTGAGAAGATAAAGCTCCAAGACATTTGAAGGACTACCCCCATACAACTTCTGATGTTGTTTTGGGGAAAAAAACTGCACAGTATCATCTTCTAGCTGATGCCTCCTTAATGTTGTATTATTTGAAAAAAAATGGGAAGGCAAGCAAAATTCTCAAAACTTTTTAATAATTTGCACGTTCTCCCTCTGTCAATACCGCTACAACTTACAAACTTAACTTAATATTAACTTTTGACTGGAGAGACAATTCACCGCTCTGAAAATAAGTCACTAGATTCCTGGCAAAAGAGTTATACCAAGCTGTAGTAATATTAAGCTTCAATCTATCATGCCATCAACTGTGAGCTACTTCTATCAACTTCAAAGGAAATCATGTCCAAGCAGTTAATATTTTCTCAAGAGCCAATGAAACTGTTGTTTCGAATGGCAGCCAATATATGATTATTTCATTGTAAATTTAAGGTGTGGGGTTCTGTTTTGGGGTTTGTTTTTTGGGTTTGGTTTTTCCCTCAAGCTTCTTGTAACTGCATATTTCTGCAGTCAGAGCACAAGCACAAGAGCAGGAGACAAGAGCACACTTTTAACTGAATCTTTTCCAGAATTACTGACAACTCTACCTGTTTAAGATATCATATGATAAGATATAATATTCAGGCAAGTAAGTAATGCTAAGAATTATCATCAAAAAATTAATTAAGTCTGGAAGTCAGTTGAACTCCCAAATTAGCTTCAAGATAGTAAACAACGTTCACTTACCTGATTTGTCTGACTACTTAGATATGGCTCAAAATCATCATCATTTACTGCATCCTTTTGATGAATCGAACCGTTTTGTACTGAAACTAAAAGTAAATCTGTATTAGGTATACTCTCTGGAAGATCTATGATGCACTTTTAACCTAGATAACAATTCTTTATCACCTGCACATTGAAATACCTCTACTTGTGCTTTGTTGAGACTGAACATATTACTGTTAAGCACCACTTTGTTACATTTAAAGAAAATAGCTCATTCTGTCAATGATCCTGATCAGATCTCAGGAGAAGTCTGGAAAGATGGCAACGAGAGCAGACTATTCCTGACTATGCTTTCCTGAGCTCCACAGACGGAGGAAAAACTATAGGCACACCTTATTTACACAGGCAGTAAATCCAGCATTTCCAGAAGTACCAGACCAAGTGCAAATGCGCAGACCAACCAGAACAGACATATTCAATAGGTTCAGAGGAAGTTGCAACACACAGCTTTCTCCTGCCAGGAGGAAAGTCAGTTACCCACCCAGACAACCATGAAGCGCACCACTATTCAGTAATTTAATTTTGTATTTCCTACATAAATATTATACTGTACTGCATTAATGGCATCTCTGAAGCTCAGAGGGTACAAAGCAAGATGGAAACAAGAGCTAAAGTCCCCAGGGATGATTATAATCCTTTCCCAACGTATATGCCACTATACGCTGGAATCTCTTCCTGCCTGCTCTTCTTGGCCTTCTATTACCTTTAATTTCATCTAAGGCATTACACCTACCTGGGATTTTCCAGCTGCCCAAATTACTTGCAGTGTCTCTCCACCCTCCCCCAGGCTACTATTCAAACAAAGTCAAATTGCACAAATTTCTACTAAGTTCCACTGCTTCCCATGGTGCAAAGCAGAACATGGACTTCAAACAGCAATTCACAATTGTACAACCTGAAGGCCTCTTCTCAGAAATAAATTAGTGCTTTTCCAAATGCAATTTTTGTTATCTATCAAACAGGTTCAGTGGAAAAAACCAAGTTTTAGAGTGATCAGTAAGGTGCACTGAGAAACCATGACAGCAGAAGTTACAACAAAACAGCAGGTTTTCTGACAGCTGGAGGCACTGAGTTTGGAGCTGACTCCATGGCTTCCCTCTGCTAGCAAAAACTTCTGAAAAGCATATACAACCATGTAACTAAACCTCAAACTTTGCTGAAGTTAGTGTTTAAGAGTGGGGTTTTATGTTTTGTTTTGTTGGTTTGGGGTTTGTTTTTTTTTTGCCAAAGTTCACATTGCAAACCAAGTGGTGCCTGGACCAAGTTACTTCCATTTTTTTTTTCACATTTGACTTTAACACCTCTAAACCAAACTGCCTTCAGGGAATGAGACTAGCTGAAAAAAATGACAAAGGAATAGATATAATCACAAGGAATAACCAAAATTCTGGAAAAATTTATTAACTTCAGACATCAGTAAAAAGAGCTAAAAATTAATAATTTAACACAGAAGATTTTTTTCAAAGCAAATATCCGGGAAGGAAGAAAGCAACCCATGTTTTGAATATCTTCTTGGAATTTTAAAAGTCAGAACACTTGACACTTCTGTTATTACAAACTGACACAGTGCTTTTGTATACTAGCTACAGCCAAATATGACCAGCAGTGGTGAGCACAATGGGTTTTAAAGCTTGATAGAACAATATTCCTAATTAAACACCAAATTTAAATTAACATTAGGTGTTGGGTTCCCCCCCCCCCCAATAAATAACGAGTTTCAGTTAAGGTCATTAATCATCCTGAATTTACACACAATGGTAACATATTAATGAGCTGGAACACTATATTCCTCTTTATATTTGGCCCAGTCACACAGAGGATGAGCCTCAAAATCTTTTGTCCAGGCCATGCCCATTGCTTAGACTTAACCAAATAGTACAGAGAGCACAATTCTTGAATACAATTCTGTTGTAATGAAAAACATGGATGGCAGCATACAAGTTTCTTAAAAGCATGCAACCACAAATAAAGGAATAAACAGCTGCATGTCAAGACTAGAATCCTATCAAAATTAATCTCCTCATACTGACAGCTAATCTTCATAAAACGTGCATCTGCTGTGTTTATTGTTTCAGAGGTATCTAAAGGTCACTTAAGACAGAATTATTTTTGGTCTGCCATTACAACTAGCATAGAATATTCTTGTAAATGTATTTTCTTTCTTATTCATTCTGTATTGAGATCTTAAGTCAGTGACACAAAACAGTTCTACACCGACATCTTTCCTAGTAAATATATACATTTCCAAGTGAAATAGCATCACTAGAAGTGTTTCTTTGGCTTTTCATTCTAACTTTACATAATGTGTTAATAATGAAGAATGTAGCCCCCCACACACATTTAACAAGAGCAAGCAGATTAAGATGCATGCCTCACTCCCAAAATCTCACATTAAGTGTTCCAACTAAACAGGGCAGTGATGAAGAATACTAATTGAAACTAATCTACAGTTACTAAAAATATCTGTATCAATCCAACCCTGAAAATACCATATACTTCTGCAAATTTCTGAAAACATACAATGTAATTAGATATTGGGAAGAAATAACTCATCAAATAAAGGAACTTACAAGCTTATACTCTTGTAACTGCTACTAGCCTTTGAATAACCACTTGCAAAATGCGCAAATGATGGCCAAAGGCATAAGAATAAATTTTTCATTAAAAGAAGCCATTACACCTTGATTAATGTGGAGAATAAGTATTATAAGAAACACGTAACATTTCATTCTTGTTTTGAACCCAATGCTTACATTTAAACCTTCTACAAAACCAAAAATTATATACATATATATGTAAACACAAGTCAGCACTTTCCTATCACAGGTGTGATACACTAGCACAACAAACAAAAGGGAAAAAAAAGGAGTTTCAGGAATCCCTGTTTCTTCTCCCCCCGCCCCCCTCCCAAGACATCATTTGGTTTATGTCAGTTCTGATGTTTTATGTCAATGTACAGTAGTTGACAACTAGAGTAAGAAAACTTTCAAGACAGGATAATTTACTCATTCAAGTCTCTAAAATACCAACATTAATATCCGACACAACAGATGGATAGTACTGTTCTACACACTATAACTTCAATCCCACAAATTCTGGTCAAGAGAAACAGCACGATTTATAATCAACTAAAATAAAGCATCAAAAACATTTTGCCAGACAATATAAATCAGCTACCTCCCAATATCACTTGCAGGTCTAATACTTTTTGTTTCAATATGAAAAACACTTTATTTCCATTCATACACCCCTTATACTACTTACTCACATTCTCTCGTATGATCTACCAGCCATGTGGACAGTAATCTTTTTACCATCCATTTCGACATTATTACTCTTATGCACAGAACAAACTTCAGATTAGTCTGAACTCAGTATCACATCTTCCCTCGAAGCTCCTTTAAGCTGGGACCTGTCATGACCCCTAAAAAAGATTACTGTCTGCTAACATGTGGTCAGTAGGGATTGCTGATACTGACTTAATTTATCCTCTTGAAGAAGTCTCTAACCCAAAGCCAAACTACTTGTGCTACACTGTGTGCTACCATCTTCAATCTCCTAGCCCTTTAATCTAATGCTAAATTATAACTTAGTTTCATTAAACAGACATTATCCCAAATAATTTAACAGAAGGAGGAGATTGTTGGTTTGTTTCACTATAGTTTTCATTTAGGTCATATTCTCACCAAGAGAATACATAGTAAGGCTCCATTATTTACAAGGATGCACCCCACAAAAACCCAAGTTCAGGAATGATCTCTTCCTTACATAGCAAACTAAGAGTTGGGTTTGGATTCAAACATTCTGCAGCATTTACAAATTATAGCACACAAAAATATGCTAACATAAGTAAGTTAAAGCTGACTCACGCATTTTCACTATTAAACAAGCTGCAACATAACACCCAAATAGAAATGCTTAATACTTCCACTCCAATTCATATACATGGAGTATAGTTCAAAAAATACTTGTATGATTCTCTAATAGATGCATCTCAATAACCTCACTAAAACTGAGGTGTGGTAATTCAAAGAACGTGAAGCCACAAACAACCTGCTAAAATGAATCTGACTTTTCCTCTCATTTAAAGGCAACATGGAAGGTATAAACACAAACTATCTCAAAGACACAAGGAAATAGTTAAAAGCTCCAGTTTGGGAGAAAAAAGGTAGAAGTATTAGAATACGAGAGAACAAGTATTCAAGAACAACCAAACTGAGAAGGTACAAGGAGGTAAACACAAGTTCATTCTTCTCTGAATGCAGAGAAATTAAAAGGAACAGGCCAAATTCAGCAAGATTCAGGAACCATGTGCTACCTCACAAGTGATGTATGTAATAAGTAGATAATCTGCACACAGACAGAATAATAGAATAAGTACACTGCAGATAACATTAAATGACAGTTCACAGAGAACAATTAGATTAGTTCAGATAATGAACAGCGGGGGGCAAAGGTAGCTGTGTGCATGCTGTTCTATAGCTCAGTTTGCTGAGCACCTAAGAATTAAATGGGCACAAGTGTACTGATTAGGCAAAAAGAATTTCCAAATAGAATATTAGTCTTTACATCAAAGATAACAAATTCTAGACCGAAATAAATGGCACAATATAATCTGAAATGCTGTTTACAACAGACTTGCCAAGAATCTGAGAGAGAAGAATATTAAGTAGTTAGTTCCTTATTTCTGTGGGAGAGAAGAAACCCCACTGGGTATTGTATTTAAAAACTAAGATGTTGACAGAAACATGAAAAAAGTAGAAAAGCAGAAGGCCTGCGAACACTGAGAATATTCTATACTGATGCTAAAATGAAGAGAAAAGCCCACAAAATTTCTGAGAATAAGGAAGGTGATGTGTTCTGCTCACAGATATGAGTAACTAAATAGTCACGTGGCTGTTGTCTCGCAAGCTAAGGAAGCTGTTCAAAAGATTCTTCCTGATGATTCTAGTACACTGATTCTGTTCACTGCATAGAAAGTCCCAAGGTGTACTGTTAATGTGATCTGTAAGTCAGCTACAAAGATACCTATGTTATTGTCCGACTTCTGACATTAATTTTCATTTGCAAAATAAAACATTTTGAATTCATGTACCACTGTGCCACCGTAAAAACGCTGGGAAATAACATTTTGGCACACAATTTCCTGTCACCTTGCTCTGAAATAGAAGACATCCTATACCCACATTCTCTTCCCACGATAGTCTGAAGACACTTTAACCTCCAAAAACAGTAATATTAGAGATTTATACAGAAATACGAGGAATCAACTTACCTTTATTTCCCTGTCCTTTAGGTCTCTGTATATAGGAAAGTGGAAAAAAAAAAAAAGCAAAACAAGTTCAGTTAGAATCCTCTAATGTTTACTTCAGGGTAGTTGCATTTATTTGCCAATTCTGCTCCTTTCAACTTAAATATCAGTTTAAAATATTATTAAAACCAAACGCAATTATAAAAATATTATATTATATAAAACAGTATCATATAAAACATTACAAAAACCCAAAAAAATAATTTTTAAAGAATTTCACCAAAAAACATTGAAATAATCTAGTCTTTTGCAGCATGTGAAGCTTAAATGGTGTTGAAAACCTGAACAACAAATGAATTTTGATTGCCACCCCCCCGCCCCCCAAGAAATATAAGCAGTAAACAAAGCAGAGTAAAAGAACAAAGAAAGTTAGTAGCTTAAGATTACTGCCAGTACTAGAACTTCATTAGAATTTCATTATCATATGTCATCTTTTAAGTTGACTGATGGGTACTTACCAGAGAATAACCTACAATGCCTTCTTTTTAGATATACAAAGGAATATACAGTGATATTGTAAGCTGAACTATGAGTTGTGCATTCCTCATCTAGGAATTATATTGAGAAAACGATACAGTCTGTATGAAGCTTTCACACAAGGAAATAATACCTTAAGGAGGGGTTTTTTTTTTTTTGATTAGTCATTACAAAACACTGTTAATCTGTCATGCACTAAGAATCACTGTAACAGTGCAAGTTACAGTATCCTTAATTCCTCTAGAGCAAAATAAAATGGCTTAGAAAAACAAATGCTAGCCCATAAAAATCTAATTCATCTTCTCACATCTGTACAACTAAGCATGAGTGGGTCTCCAGGCTCCATCACTCTCTTAACAATTTTTAGTCCTGAAAAACTCAGTATTCAGAGGTTTTAAAGTTTAGGAGGCAACCACCTCCATCTTGCTTTTATGTGCATCTGTCTCAGAGTTACCATAAGGCTGCTTAACACTGCTCCATCTAAAGCTGCACTGGTTAGTCACCTCCCTCTCCCAAAACCAGAAAAAAAAAAAATCTCTGTAACGTTAAAAACCCCAACCACCTCATCTTTTGGGTTGAAGCTAATCCAGACACAAAAGGCACGCAGAGACCAACAAGAGACATGGAACTAAAAAAGTTGGGAACAAGCAGCCTTCGTGGAAGACAGAGCAATGAAAAGCTAAGAGATGACTGAGCTAGAAGTGCATAAAAGGAAACTGGGGAGCATGCACAGAGATAAAAGAAACAAAACGTTAAAGGCACAGAGAGAAAATAAAAGGGGGCAGGAGGCTGCAGGGCCAAAACTTTTGGAGAGCGGCAGCGGCCCATGGAGGAAGCAGAGACCAAGACAGAATAGCTACCAGCCAAAAAGTAAGGCCTGCAGAGGCCTAGCAAAGATTAAAAAAAAAAACAAAAACAAACAAACAAACAAAAACCCCAAAAAAAGAAACCAAAACAGACGCTAAGTTCTGTGAAGAACCAACTAAAAAAGTGCAGCACAGCGCATGGAAAGAAACAGAGGAGAACAGCTGGAAGAAGCGGAGGCCGCAGGGAAGGAGCACAAACCATAGGCCCGAAGGGAGAAGAGGTGGGTGAGGAGAGAGAAAGGCACGAAGAGAAAGGATGCGGTAACGAGGAGCCAGAGAGACTCGGGGGTGCGCAGGGGAGAGGAGACGGAGCTGGGCGCCGCGGGCTGCCCGGCACCAAGGCGCTCCCGGAGCGGAGAAGGGAAACGGGAGCCCGTAGGGGCTTGGGCCGGGAAGGGCTCGCTTGCGGGACGAGAAGACACAAAGCGGGCAGGCCGGG